TGTTTGTTTCACTTACCAAAAAGAAGATAAAACTTGGGCGACGAAAGCTCAGCCAACCGCATGCGAAGAAGCCGATGAGTTTCGTCTAAGAAAACAAATTCATACAGAAGCTCAATAACTGATAGTGGACTAACTTGGAATGGGGAATATCACGTTTTAAATCTCATCCAATATCTCACTCTGCACTGAGTTCGTTTATATGCACCACGTGCCAGCTGCCACTGTGGAATATTCGAATGTTACACTAAAAGAGATAATACCCAATCGTTCCTCTATGTTCTTCGTTTTAATTAAGTTCAGTAAGTTTTTATGGAAGAAGAGTTAAAATTCCGGTCTTGTGGCGTTGTGCAAATAACAGGGAAAAGTTAACATCCAAAGCAATAAACGGTACGCTGCAAATTTGCAATTATTTTCCTGCGCTCTGTAGGAAAATAGTTAAGGTATAACAACACGTTAAACTTCATTTTGCGCCCACGCTTGTACACTCCTTCTTAACCATAAATGCTCCCCTAAGCTGAGACTACAAGTACAGAAATCATCCAGCAGGTTGACTGCAGGAAAGACGCATCAAAAAATTCAGGCTTCGACGAGATTCGAAGCTGCGCCCCTGGACTACCACCAACTAAGAATGGTACACAAGAAAGAAATTGATCTTCGAAATTGGGCTGTGATTAATGAAATTGCAGAAAAAAAATCTGAAAAACATTTTCTCTTGGTTTAAACTAAGTTATGAGTAAATAATAACTGAGGGCAAACAATCGAGCATATGTTTGCGTCGAATTGGTCTAAGCAATTGTAAAATCAAACGCTGGGGATTTCGCCGGAATAGCGTATTATGTACTCACCACTGAACTTGATACAGGAACACGTACAGAGAGACTGGATAATGTTAATGACCAGGCCATGAATTGAGGCGCGGATGGTTGGCGGACCAGTAGAGACGAGGAGAGTAACGAGATGAAACAAGTACGGAATATGACTGGCCACTGTCAACAAAACAAACAGACAAATAAACAAAGAGGGTGTGAGAGTTATAACATCGAGGGGCGTAAAACAAACAAACTGAGTAATCATCACAGTTAAACATGGGCCGGTTGTTTACACAGAGTTCACCCGTTGTTTAAGCACAATCACAAAACGATTGGGTCTGTTTCTGCATCTGATTGGTTGATAAAGTAAGGTGTCTCCATACATGGCGTGTAAATGGTAGCGTGGCCGAGCGGTCTAAGGCGCTGGTTTAAGGCACCAGTCATTTCGATGGCGTGGGTTCGAATCCCACCGCTGCCAGCGGAGTTTCATTTTGTACCAAGGTGAAGGAAGTGGGACTAACGCTCGAAACGTCAGCTTTGAAACTCTTTACGGTGGCCAATTTACAAAAACAACTCGTTGATAATACTTAATTACCCTGTTATACTCTCCCACCGACGGAGCACCACAGTTTATTTAGAAACTTACTCCCTTTTCGTTTCCTTTTCAACTTTGTTTTCTGGACCAATCACATTACGAAGTAAAGCGAAACCAATGTAATTCTGGATTGCTTTGTAAATTCAATTGAAAATTGCCCTAAGGAGGGTAAGGCAAGCTGTTTTTTATCAAAAGAAAACCCCTACCATCCAGACAGTCGTTAAATGAAAGCATAAGCAGATATCTTGTAAGGATAGCAATGTCGTCCCACATAAGATGTTGTTCAAGACGGACAGTCGGAGAAATAAAGGTCTTGCTGATAAGCTGAGAACAAAAGATGTGGAAATAACACGTTAGAGGAAACCCGATACTTTCAGTCTTTTGGAGAGAAACTCCGATCAATAATAAAATGCTCCTAAAATTATCATCAAGGTATCTTTCCATTCATATAGTCTGGTCGAACAAAAAGAACTAGTTCTTAGCGATCTAAACGAAAGCGGAAGTCCACTTTATGTGAACGCACCCGCGCGTTGCGCTGTCACGCGCGTTCTCAGTGATTAGCAGATTGCAAACTGGCTTTCGTCCTATCTGTTATATTTGGAAATCAAATCTCTTCTCCTCGAGTATTCCGCGTGAAAACTGACTCGTCCTACTCATGGGACTAGAGTAGGAGAAAAATTCTACCAGAATAGACAAAACGATTTCTGTCAGTTCTCAAAACTAGCCCCGTTCTTTTTCCGGATAGGACGGTCTAGCAAGCCAGTTCTAGCAAATGCTGATAGACTTTTACGTCGAGTCTACAGATCACAAGGACCATAACTAGTACCCAAAAGAGAAGGCATTACCGAGTCGAGCCTCCCAATGACCTTGCGTGACACAATTTGAACATTAGCTGACGCCAAAGCCACTGCAGTGTCTGCCATAACTTCTGCCTTTACAGAACCCAGGCCTCCTGTAGCACTGGCCTGAAAGATACAAAATCATTATGACACATCCAATAAGATGGACAAAATGAAGAGATGTTGGGACCATGTACTCTTGAAACAATTGGACAGGAAATTCAAAG